AAACTTCTGTCGGTCCGCAAACGGGGCTGAGGACGCCAATTATTGGTCGATTGGGAGGGATACGGGCCTGAGGAACGTTGCTCGGTCTCCTCGACTTTCGTGGTGGATAAAACACTCATAAATGACTTCTATGATCGCCACCCTGAGCAGCCTGGGCCGTCGGGAGTCGGCCCTAGAAGGGGGGGTACTGTTGTGTCCCGTCAATTATGTTAGTTTGTTATGTATTTGTCGCGTTTGTTTTGTTTGTTTCACTTCCAGTTTAATTTTGTACTCCTTGTCTCATTCCAGGTGCCTTTACTTCCTTGGTTCTTGTTTCCCGCCATCGTCAGCGTCTGCCCCGCCCCTGATTGTTTCCACCTGTTCCCACTTACCTCTTGTATATATTGTCCTGTCTCCCCCTGTCTGTTGTCAGTTTGTCTTGTTCGTCATGCCAAGAAGTCAGATCCAAGCAGCCATAGAGAGACCAAGTACCTTTTGTGATATCCTCCATGAGAGCGTTTTGTTTTGTGACCGTTTTGTCACTCCCTCTGTAAAGAGTGTTTCTTTGTTTTTGATCCATTAAAGTTTATTTTTCTTCAAACCTTTTCGTCTCCGGGTTGTGCAATTGAGTCCTCATATCAGTGAGTCACGGTTCCTAACAGATATTCTCTGCAGCAGAGAGCTAAGCGCTGTCAGACCGAACCTAACCCTGAAAAGTATTATCATCTGAAATTAATCATTATGTATTTAATATTAATAACAAAGTATTTTTACAACTTGTATTTAGAAATACTCTGTTGCAATTATTGATGCATAAATGTGTTCATCCATTCAATGTGGCATCTGCTATAATGGGGTTAAGGTATGATATTACTTAATAATACATACATTATAATATATGATAATTACATTTGAGTTTTATTCATTTCTTATTTCATAGTTTCTCATTATTTTTATCGCTCATGTTATTTTTGATTTTATTAATCTGTGTGAATCTGTGCTATCCTGTTTTTCACTCTTACCCTGTTGCTGTTTGAACTACTGAATTTCCCCACAGGGATTAATAAAGGTCCATCTTATCTTAATGTATAAGTTGATTTACTTCAATCTACTGTACTGTGTAAAAACACCCCAACAATATTACAAAAGATATACTGCATGCATACTGCAAACTATATACTTTATTTGATCTAAAACATTGATGTTTTTTCATTATAGTAGCTTGTGAAAACCATAACAAATAACTGATTAAATGCTACAGTATTCAGCAAACACAACTGCAGAGCTGCAAACATTGCAAACAGACTAAGTTCTCCCGGTTGTCTTTGTGTATTTGTGAATGAAGCGCCATATCATGGTTAAATCCTGTAATTGAACAAATGGGGAAATTTGGCAACGCCTTCTAGCAATTTGGCAACACCCCCAGCCACTGGGATCCGCTGGGTTTTTGGTTGGGACACACCCATGTGAGTCTGATCTGGAGTGCTACATCTGTACCCATCGATTCCGTGTCATCTCACGATGTGAATCGATGTGTTGGATGTGCAGAAAGGATAAATAATAAGGTTTTATGAGTGAGTTTCAGTGCAGTAATCTGTTAGCATTTTTCGCTCGTTGCTAATTCAGAGGCTCAGTGTTAGCATTGTGGGGCTTCCTTTGAAAAAAAAATTAAAATGATCAGTTCGTTGAGTTTCTTCCCGTTACACGGATATAAAACATTCATAGTATATTAAATGTTAAGATGCCCTCAGACACTGTTTCCTGCAAGAGGACCCCGGTACCGGGGTCTCTCGGGCTTAACAGGTTAAGTGGTCTGGAATCTAGGCTGACGAATCAGATTCAAGATGTACATGAATATCAAGGTTCAAGGTTCAAGGCTTTTATTTGGAATACGTACATAGCTACAGTGTAGTTATGTAGATGAAAATCTTAGGTCACAGGCTCCACCAACAGTGCAACACAATAAAACAGAAAAACAGAAAAAATAAATACAAACAAAATAGTAAAATAGCAAAATAGTGCAATAAAAGTCTATATACAAGTGATTGGAATAGGATATATTAGATACTTAATTTGTAAGTTGCAGCCAGATGAATGTTATAGATGTTCTTTGAAAGTTCAGGTGTTTAACAGTCTTATGGCCTGTGGAATGAAACTGTCCCTGAGTCTGGTGGTTTTAGTCCTGATGCTGCTGTACCGCCTGCCAGACGGCAGCAGACTGAACAGTTTGTGGCTGGTGTGATGGGGGTCTTTGATAATCCTGAGGGCTTTCTTCCTGAGCCGCTGGGAGTAGAGGTCCTCCATGGATGGCAGCTCCGTCCTGGTGATGTGCTGTGCAGCTTTCACCACCCTCTGTAAAGCCTTACGATTGAGGGCGGTGCAGCTGCCGTACCAGGCTGTAATGCAGCCAGTCAAGATCCTCTCTATGGTGCACCTGTAGAAGGTCAGGATCCTCTCTATGGTGCACCTGTAGAAGGTCAGGATCCTCTCTATGGAGCACCTGTAGAAGGTCAGGATCCTCTCTATGGTGCACCTGTAGAAGGTCAGGATGCTCTCTATGGTGCACCTGTAGAAGGTCAGGATCCTCTCTATGGTGCACCTGTAGAAGGTCAGGATCGTCTCTATGGTGCACCTGTAGAAGGTCAGGATCCTCTATGGTGCACCTGTAGAAGGTCAGGATGCTCTCTATGGTGCACCTGTAGAAGGTCAGGATCCTCTCTATGGTGCACCTGTAGAAGGTCAGAATCGACTCTATGGTGCACCTGTAGAAGGTCAAGATCCTCTATGGTGCACCTGTAGAAGGTCAGGATGCTCTCTATGGTGCACCTGTAGAAGGTCAGGATCCTCTCTATGGTGCACCTGTAGAAGGTCAGGGTGCTCTCTATGGTGCACCTGTAGAAGGTCAGGATGCTCTCTATGGTGCACCTGAAGGTCAGGATCCTCTCTATAGTGCACCTGTAGAAGGTCAGGGTGCTCTCTATGGTGCACCTGTAGAAGGTCAGGATGCTCTCTATGGTGCACCTGAAGGTCAGGATCCTCTCTATAGTGCACCTGTAGAAGGTCAGGATACTCTCTATGGCAGTGGTTCCCAAACGGTGTGCCGCGGCACACTGGTGTGCCGTGAGGCAAGTTCGGGCGTGCCGTGGGATTTTGTGACAACCATACGTTATTATTGCAATATACAACTAGGCCTACACAAAAATAATTATTTTTTAATTTACTATATCAGTACTTTGTAGCTTTATATGTACGCAATCTGCGCGACTTGCGCGTCCACATCTCCACGTGCAGTGCTGCATAAACATGGCTGAGTCAGCGATAACTCTCGAGGGGTGGAGGTATGCCCATTACTTTGAGTTCGTCCGAAGAATAGACAGGAATGTGACGGTGAGGTGCAAACTGTGTCCAGGCCAGAAGCTGTTATCCACTGCTGTAAACACCACGTCAAACCTCAACAAGCACCTGCAAAGAACACATGCTAAGGTGAAGCTACCGCACACGCTATTTGTTGTTTGTTTATATCACGCAGTCTGTTCTTCTTCTCTGTCTTCCGGTTGTTGCCTGTTTTGAATGACAAATACACACTACCGCCGCCTGCTGGTAAGGAAAGTTATTGCCACTCACGCATGCGCAGTTCGTACGTGCTCGGCGAGTAAAGTAACGAGTTACTTTATGTAGATAGTAACGAAGTGTAGAAGTGTAATATATTACTTTCTTTTTTTTAAGTAATATGTAATATATTACATTTTTTTAGTAAGGACCCCATCTCTGGAGTTGGCGTTCTCTACTCTGATTTACATGAAGAACAACAGGAGGTCACGGCTCTCTGTTGAACAGGACTTGCGAGTGGCCCTCTCCTCAGTGCCACCAAGGATTAAAAAATTCTGCGCGACCCGACAGGCACATGTATCTCACTAATTTGTAAGTCGGCAAAATATTTACAATCGCACATGTTTCAATGCTGATTGCTGAAATGTTACATTTATAATTTGTAGTTCAGGACCATGGACAATGCAGCTTCCTTGCATTGACAGTTCTCTGTGCTGAATTTCTGCTGAGTTTCCTTTGCCTCATTTTTAATGTTGTGACCTGTCTGGTTTACATGAGTGTGTTGCTGCTTTGATGAAGCCTAATTTGATAAAGTTTCAAATTAATTTCTGAAATATTTCGTTAATAAATATTTCATGAGTAATATAGTTGTCTTTGTCACATTTTATTTGGCATTAGTAAATAATTATGCACATTTACAGATATTTTACATGATATGAGTGATAACACGTGTTATAAGGGCTATTTTGCACAATAGGTGTGCCTTGAGATTTTTACTTGTCCTTTGGTGTGCCTTGGGCACAAAAAGTTTGGGAACCACTGCTCTATGGTGCACCTGTAGAAGGTCAGGATCCTCTCTATGGTGCACCTGTAGAAGGTCAGGATACTCTCTATGGTGCACCTGTAGAAGTTGCAGAGTATCCTGGAGTCCATGTTGAACCTCCTCAAAGAGCCGCTGTCGAGCTGTTTTCGTGATGGTGTTTGTGTGAAGGGTCCACGTCAGGTCCTCAGTGATGAGTCCATGTCAGGTCCTCAGTGATGAGTCCATGTCAGGTCCTCAGTGATGAGTCCACGTCAGGTCCTCAGTGATGAGTCCACGTCAGGTCCTCAGTGATGAGTCCATGTCAGGTCCTCAGTGATGAGTCCATGTCAGGTCCTCAGGAATGTGGACCCCGAGGAACCTGAAGCTGCTGACTCTCTCCACCGTAGTCCCATTGATGGCGATGGGGGCGTGTCCCTCTCTCTGCTGCTTCCTGTAATCCACTATCAGCTCCTTGGTTTTGCTGACGTTGAGATGGAGGTTGTTGTCCTGTCACCAAGATGTCAGGGTTTCGACTTCCTCTCTGTACGTCGTCTCATCGCTGTCGGTGATCAGGCCAATGACGGTCGTGTCGTCAGCAAACTTCACAATGGTGTTGGAGCTGTGTGAGCAGTAAACCAAGTCAATCCATTTCTGATCTTTGTGGTTCCAGTGTCTTTTCCTGTTGTGGTGCATGGCTCCTATCTCGTGGAATGGCTCCCAGGTCATCTACAACAAAGTGATTCGGCCCATCTTCCTCCGCTATGAGGCTGTGGTGGACGACATGGTGAATGACATCGGCGGGAGGGCGATGAGTGCTGCTGAGAACATCACCAGAGAAGGTAAAGACCAGTTCAACACCAGTTAATTGTGTTTTTTTATTAAATATGTGAGTACTTGAATATTTCTGCTTTTCTTCAGTCCTGTGCACTCTGATGAAGAATAATGCTGTGGTATCGCTGACACCCGCTCAGCCTGAAACCAAAAGTTTACCGAGTTCATCAACAGCTACAGTAGCTCCTTCAGATTCAAAAGAAGAACAACCAGTACGTATACCCCAGCTGCATCACCCACCTTCTGAAAATAAGTCCAACCTGAAGGCCTCTGTATGCTTCAAATGAACTGAACACTGGACATAGTGGACACTGGACATAGCATTTATGCTAATCTAATCAGGTCTTGACTCAAGTTCAGTATCTTCAGTATAGCACTTCATCAGTCTAACCATGACCGCTGACATTTAAATCCTTCTTTCTCTGAAAGAGTTGGAGCATTCAGATTTTCAGCACCGTCTTGTAAAAACGGCTGCTCAAAGTTCCAGTTCTGTATTTACTAATTAATTGGTTTGGTGTTTGGAGATCTAACCAGTTCAGACAGCCACTCAGAGTCTAATTTTCATTACATAATTCAATCATTTTCATGCTTTTTTAGCAAACATGGTGACTTGTTTGTCCATCCCACACAAGAACTAGAGAGACCAAATACTTTGCAAAACAAAGTTCTTCAAAAGTGTTTCTAGTCAGTCTCTGATTGTATTACGTTATTATGAGAGTGCTTTCATACTTGTTTGATTCTGAAATTGTATATATTTATATAAATATATGTGTGTGTGTGTGTCCGCATCTGTAGCCTGTTATTGTCCCATTATACCGCACTGTGAATGAATTAAAAGTAAATATATAAGTCGTCATGAACACATCTGTCCATCAGACAGAGGGCTGCTGTGCCTCCTGTCATCATTAATGGACGTCTCTTTAAAATGACCGCTCCGAGGAGAGGAGTTCTCATTTCTCTAACCGCCTGCTGCTTCCCCTCCTCTCTCCTCGGCTCCCCTCCTCTCTCCTCGGTTCCCCTCCTCAGTCCTCCGCTCGCATCTCCTGTGGGTGGGACTAAGTATCGAGGATAGGAGTCAAGGAGGGGAATTAGAGAAATTAGAAACCTTCTCTGTCTTTTAACCTCTTTCCTTCTATCCCCTGATCCTCCTCAGCAATGGTCCTTATTTTGGGTGCATAATAATGACCGTGGCTGAGGAGGATCAAGGGACAGAAGGAAAGAGGTTAAGAGGTTTGACAGAGCGTTGGATGTCACAGAAATCAACAGAAGACAGACAGGAAGTTAACATCAGCCCTTTCTCGTTTCTCAGTTAGCACCTCCTCAACTCCTCTCCTCGTCTTAGTCCCGCCCACAGGAGATGCGAGTCGAGGAGTCGAGGAGGGGAACCAAGGAGAGAGGAGGGGAAGCAGCAGGCGGTTAGAGAAATGAGAAAAAAAGGAGCATAACATCCAGGGGAGATGTGATTAGTGAGTAAACAAACAATAAAGGGCAGAAAGTCTAACGCACATTTAAATAACTTATAATCACAACGGAACAGTTTGCCCCGGAGGATACATCAGTGTACCCTCGGTTATAGCTCCTCCAGAGAGCCTCCTCGATCCTCGATTTTCGATGCGCATCTAGAGAAATAAGATGTCCTTCAAGGTGGCTCGCTGACATTGATTATCGGGTCACTACCGAGGAGTCGAGGATTAGAGGAATTGAAAATTAGATAAATGAAAGGTACAGGTACAGCTTAAGAAGACAGACAGGAAGTCAACACTAACAGGAACAGTGACAGTATGGGATCTGCAATGTTTAAGGACATGTTAGTGGAAAAGAAACTCTGACAGTTGTTTTCTTAGTGGAAGCAATACAATCATTTTCATCATTTTCGGTATAATGTGCTGATCAAGCTCCATGTTCTTTTTCAAATAATGACCGTTCGCCTCGACCCATCAGAATTGCATATTCAACTAAGCTGTCTAATAACCAAAATTGTTTGTACATTCAGTTTCGAGATTACTTAACATGCTTACCTATCCTGTTGTCTTGTTACCTATTTCAGCTCTTCCTTGGTTGACAATATGGTAAGTCAACTGGTTGTGAATGTTGCGTGTTAGTGTAAGAAAATTAGCATGGAGCTTAGCGACCCTCTCATGCCCCTTTTCCACCAAACCGGTTCCAGAGCAAGTTCCGGACTAGAGCCTGATTAAGCTCTGGTTCTTCCTGTTTCCACCGCAGCGGAGCCGGCTCTAAGCACCGAAAACCGTCACCAATACGTCACGCTTATGTCGGAGGCGGGATTAAACTGATCAACAACAACAAAATGCCGCAAATTCTGTACAGCAACACACACACACAACTACGAACCAGGATGGATGCCATTAAATGTAGGCAGCATGGACCGCGGAAGAGACAAATGACCTCCTCGGTACAGAGGAAGTTGGACGGCACAACACGGTCTAAAGCTATTTTCCAGCAGCTGCAGCGGGAGTTGGCCCCGCTGGATACCACCGGACTCTGGAGCAAATAAGCAACAAGCTGGAAAAACTCAAGAAAGACTACCGGGATCGTTGTTGGTGTTGTCGATAAGAGGGATTTTCACGCCGTGTGGGTGTCATAAGAAGGCACGTAAACGTTTACGTGATGTAAGGATGATTAAAGGATGACGAAATGACGCAGCTTCACTCGAGCTCCGCTCGGGCTCTGAGCGGTGGAAACACAAGTGGTGCTACAGAGAAGAACCGGTTCAGCATCAGAAAAGTCAAAGAACGGTTCTTCAACCGGATCCGGTTTGGTGGAAAAGGGGCATTAGACCCTCAATGCTGCTGCAGTTCTGGGCTGCAGATTAGAATGTAGCAGCAGATCGAGCTGACAAGATCCCCCATGAAGACCTAAACAGTCCTGAAGGGTCCTAACAAATCAGGTATATAATAATGCATTATTCTGTGTTTCCTGACTTTCTCGTTCTTTTAGTCCTTCAGATAGCAGCAGAGAAAGAGGAGCAGAGGGCCAAGACTGGTCTGTTCAGCCTGACATATCCCAACAAGAGGAATATTCCCTTTCAAGGAGACTGATTTCCTTTTTATATGAGATATGTCATATACTATTCTTTACTGCAAAAACTCTGCAGTCAGACTCTTACGTTGTTTTAATTGTATTTATATATGAATGGTTTTTGGGGGTCAGTTGAATGATTTTTATAGATACAAAGCACCTGAATGCAACAAAGTAACAATTACAGCAGCTTAATAAAGTCATGCAACACTAACCAGGCTTTGTGTGATTCTGTTTATGTGTACCTTACTTTCACCATCCATTCGCTGTTATTCATAGGCGGCGCGTGAGGCTCAGGTTTGGGAAGGCTAAATCACTTTTTTCTTTACCTGACTCAGTGTGCGGAGTTTAAATATATCAAGTCAAATATATTAAACTGCTGTATGCAGAGAAGACGCCGACGTGTCGCACTTATTATTCATATCACATTCAATCAGATCATATAATATCATAATATATCGTAGGCCTATTTCTTTATCTGAGTCAGCTGAGCCGTATCTGGCCGTGCAACACTCAAAGTGTCACATACTGTATGCAGAAGTATTATTTTAAGCAACACATTAGGTTGACAAAACACTCAACTCAAATGTATTTAAAGTCAGATCCACTCGTGACTTAGATGGGGGAGCTGATATCATAAAACTGTTACGCTTTCAAACACTCTGTAGTTTATTTATTTTTAAACCAGTTCACCTTCACCATATTCACCTTGCAGGTGCAACTATGTGGCTTGTATCCTGGATTATATGTTTAAGTCATGGATGTTTAAAGTTCATATTTGTCTAATATTAGTTTACTTTTCATTAATGAAGTATGACGTTGCGTTGTCAGTACACTTGTCCCTGTTTGTGATTGGTCAAATGTTCCTAACCCCGCCCCTTTCACATGAACGCGTTCTCAGCTGGAGAGAGAAACCCTGGCTTAGCCTTCCCTAGCCTACAGTACCCGCCGCCCCTGCTGTTATTGATCATTGTGGAGAGCACTGGCAGACGTTTTGTTTTGTATTATAGCATCCATCGGATGGAATCAATGCATGGGCTGCACAGGTTGTCATGTCCGACTATCACAAGTAGAATCATAATGAAAAATACACCGGTAAAATGTGCCTGTAGAAAACGGCTTATGCCACAATAGGATAGCAACAACAAGTAGTCAAGATAGTCAGTTTAGCTTCGGTTGCTAAGCTAACATCACCCATTTTATACCAGAGACACTTTCATAACAGCGTTGTGATGCCAAACAGATTCAATTCAGACTGAAAACACATTCACTTATGGGGAACTGGGGATATGTATCAGCTGCTTATGTGACAGTCAGACAGTGAATACTTTACAGCGGACGCTGGCGTGTGAGCTAACCCGGAGCTATGGGAGAATAAACTGGAAGAGCAGCACTGCAGCGGTCGGTAAATGCCGCCGAAACACATTCATAAACAAAGAACCACGGCACTCTGGAGAAAAGTATAAGGTTGGAGAAGTCGTTATTTAATTTAATCTGGCTTCGTATGATTAACAGCAACACGATCATCGACCCGACGCAGTCCCCCGTTGTTGTTGTTGTAGTAGTGAACGCCGTTGGGGAGAAAATCAGCAACGTAAACGGTGACGTCATGACGCAGCAGCGGCAGCACCAGTCGGGCTCTGGGGGCGTACTGTCAACTCGCCGGAGCCTCGTAGCGGGAGAAGGGTCCACCGGCAGCACCAGTCAGGCTCTGGGCGGGTACTGTCAACTCGCCGGAGCCTCGTAGCGGGAGAAGGGTCCAGCTGCAGCCACAGCCGGTGGAGGTTGAACCTGTAGGAAGTTGTACTTCCAAATATGGTCAGAAAGCCCAACACGTGAGACGCTGACGCAAGGATAGTTAATGAGACAAGGGCCCTTTCTCATTTCATCAAATCCCCCCTCCTCGACTCCTCGGTCCTCCGGTAGTGACCCGGAAATGAATTTCAGCGCGCCATGTTGAAGGACATCTCATTTCTCTAAATGCACTTCGAGGACTGAGCGTCGAGGAGGCTCTCTGGAGGAGCTATAACCGAGGATACACTGATGGGTCCTTCACGGTCCTCCACGGCTCCTTCGTGGATGCATTTCCGGCAACAGAGATGTTTCAAAGAGTCGTGACGCACGGCCAGACTTATCTCAGCCAATGACAGCTCTGCATGCATCCCCTGGATATTATTTTATTAACTGCTCTCATCGCGACGCGATGTTTCCAGAGAGAACAGCTGTGAGGTCCGTTCAGAAAGCAGAGCAGTGTGTATAATATATATCACTCAGTATAACAGGCCTACTCTCTTTATTTGCTTTAGTATAGTAGATATCTACAAACAAAGAGTCGATATTTTTCTAAAACCATTTAGAGCTTCACATAATAAAATACACAACGGCTGTAGCCTGATTATGCTTTAGGGGCTGTAGGTGTGTGTGGTACAGTGTGTAGGTGTGTGTGTTGTACAGTGTGTAGGTGTGACAGGTCTCAGTTGGTTTGGTGTCCTCTGCTTACTTTTAATACTTGTAAATACAACTTTTTGCTCGTAATTTATTTCCCTCATAGCGACCAGAGAGGGGGGGGGGATATATATCCAGTCTCTGATAGTGTTACGTTATTATGAGAGTGCTCTGTTTGATTCTGAAATTGTATATATTTATATATGTGTGTGTGTGTGTCCGCATCTGTAGCCTGTTATTGTCTCATTATACCGCACTGTGAATGAATCAAAGTAAATATATAAGTGGTCATGAACACATCTGTCAGTCAGACAGAGGGCTGCTGTGCCTCCTGTCATCATTAATGGACGTCTCTTTAAAATGACCGCTCAGAGGAGAGGACTTCTCATTTCTCTAATCGCCTGCTGCTTCCCCTCCTCTCACCTCGGTTCCCCTCCTCTCTCCTCGGCTCCCCTCCTCGACTCCTCCGTTCGCATCTCCTGTGGGCGGGACTAAGTCTCGAGGACAGGAGTCGAGGAGGGGAGTTCGAGAAATGAGAAAGGGCCCAGGAATCCACCACCAGTCAAGTATGTTTGAGTTGTTCTGGATTTCGCCGATCCGATTTGAAAAGAAAGTCTGGTAACCATAGCTTTCTCTCTGTATAGCACCAAGGACTGTTTGGCTATCAACCAGATGATACCACCTTTTCACTTTGATACTACTGTGTAACTCAAAGTACTTTTTCAGGTGAGTGGAAAACACGGCTCCACACATCTCTGCTTTGACTGCATCACCTCTCTGGTCCAAAGGAGTCAGTTTGGCTTTGGATTCCACCAGCCTGACAATCGGGCCTTCGTCCATGTACCATCTCAGATACAGTACTGCTCCGTAAGCATGCTCGCTTCCATCAGAGAGTGTGATTCCACAGGGTTGCTCTGCAAAGCCTGGGGGGGTTAGTGCCCTGCTGAACTTGACTTTGCAAAGTTGGACGTACTCCTCGAAAAGCTTGATTGCATCCTCCCTGAGCCCATCTGAGAGTGCCATGTCCCATGTGTCCTTTACTGCACACTTTTTGCCTCTTGCCTCCTGGAAAGCCCGCCGCACCAGAATGGCTCCTTTCTGTTTAGCAGGAGTTACCAGTCCAACTGGGTCATACAGTCCTGACACTTGGCTCAGCAGTTCTCTTCTCGTCAGAGGGTTTGGTGTCTGGGCTCGGATTTCCTCCTTTAGAAGGTTTTGACCAAGTCGCATCTTTTTCTTTCTCCTGGAAAAGTTTATTCCAACCATGACATGGAGTTTGTCCTCATCCACCATGTAGCCCAAACCAAGTGCCTTATTGTTCTCCTCACACAATTGGTTTGGTAGAACCATGGTCTCTCTCTGATCCAATTCCAACTCGTTGCGGCATTTCTTCCTCCCACTTTGACCAGAGAACACCCATGGCTTGAGCTCAAACCCTCCGGCCTTTAGGATCTGCTTCACATTTTCTGTGATGGTATACAGCTGCTCACGATCGTTGTGTGAAGTGAGTATGTCATCGACGTAGCTGTCCTGATGAAGTACCTGCCGCTCCTTTTCAAGGTGGGTGTGAAAGGAGGCAGGTTAGCTGTCTCCCGCATGGCTAGCTGTGCGATGCACCCTGCAAGTTTATCTCCGATGTTTACCCTGGTGACTGCATAGTCCTCCAGCTCTTGATCTTCGAAGTCTCTCCAAAACCTGCCGACAACCTGCTCGTTTGGTGGAGGCTGCCTTCCAATGACCTCTTTGTCTTGGACAGCAGCTTCCCTCATTGACCTGGCAAAATGTGTCTTGGACATGTGAGCCGACCCAGTAACATCCTCAAAGAGTTCAGGGTGAGTTCCTCCAACAGTCTTCCCCAGAGGTCCGTCCCATAGGACTAGGTCTCCAACAGCTCTGATTCTTTGAGGTGCTAGTTGACCTTCTCTGTGGCTTATCAGCAGACTTATTTCCCTGGGTCTTTTCAGTTCACAGAGTGGTATGTCTGGAAATAGTTGTTGCAGTTGCTCTGGAGTTACACTTCCCTGAACATCTGCTATGCTGTCCAGACCATAACAAACCAATTGATGTGATTTGAGGGTGCCCTTGGGAGTATTCACTCTGATCTTTAGAAGGTATCTTCGGGTCTCCACGAAAACCTTCATCCCTCCAATTCCATGGATGACAAGCGTGATTTATTCACTCCTTAGGTCCAGTTTCTTTGCAGCCTTGTGGGTTATTTAGTTGTGTCGGAGGCCAAATCAATTAATGCCCCAACTTTTTGTCCAGCATTGGCTGGACTTCAAGAAGCATCATCAGCACCGGTGGTTCCTTTAATCCACTCTCCTCTAGAAGTCCTAACTGGTCTTTTCTATTGCTGAGGGTTGTTGACGCAGCATTTGAGAACACATCCCGACACTGTTTCGCCAATTCCGGAGGTAGCTTGTTGAGGAAGTCTTCTTGGTACTCTGTCCATCTCCTCCCGTCTTTATTTCCCTCTGAACCAGGTCCGCTTTTATTCTGACTTGCTTGGCTTCTCCTGGCCTTGGTGTTGGGACATAGGTAGAAGTGAAGGTCGGGAACATGCTCATTCCTGCAGTCGTGATTCTTACACAGAAAGCCAGGTCTGCAGTATGAGCTTCCATCATGGACCTCAAGACATCTCCTGCATGCTCCCAGCTTCCTCACTGCACTCTTCTTCTCTGTTAGCTCCAGCGCTCTAAACTTACTGCAGAAGTAGAGCTTTCTCCTGTGTTTTTCCTGGT